GGGGCTGTCCTGGCCTTGGTGTCCCCGCGGGGCTGTGGGGCTGTGCCCGGCCTTGGTGTCCCCATGGGGCCGTTCCCGGCCTCGGTGTCCCCGCAGGGCCGTGGGGCTGTGCCCGTACTCAGTGTCCCCATGGGGCCGTTCCTGGCCTCGGTGTCCCCGCAGGGCCGTGGGGCTGTGCCCGTACTCAGTGTCCCCATGGGGCCGTTCCTGGCCTCGGTGTCCCCGCAGGGCCGTGGGGCTGTGCCCGTACTCAGTGTCCCCATGGGGCCGTTCCTGGCCTCGGTGTCCCCGCAGGGCCGTGGGGCTGTGCCCGTACTCAGTGTCCCCATGGGGCCGTTCCTGGCCTCGGTGTCCCCGCAGGGCCGTGGGGCTGTGCCCGTACTCAGTGTCCCCATGGGGCCGTTCCTGGCCTCGGTGTCCCCGCAGGGCCGTGGGGCTGTGCCCGTAATGGGGCCGTTCCCGGCCTCGGTGTCCCCGCAGGGCCGTGGGGCTGTGCCCGTACTCAGTGTCCCCATGGGGCTGTTCCTGGCCTCGGTGTCCCCGCAGGGCCGTGGGGCTGTGCCCGTACTCAGTGTCCCCATGGGGCCGTTCCTGGCCTCGGTGTCCCTGCAGGGCCGTGGAGCAGTGCCCATCCTCAGTGTCCCCATGGGGCCATTCCCGGCCTCAGTGTCCGCACGGGGCCGTGGAGCGGTGCCCGGCCTCGGTGTCCCTGTCCACAGAACATGGATGTCCCCATCAGGGCCGGTCCCTCCTGGCGCTCCTCGTGCCCGGTGGAGGAGGCAGGCGGTGGCAGGGGTCGGGGTATGGAGCGTCTCCTCCCCCGGTGGATGCAAAATGAAGGTGCTGGGACTGTATAGGCATCTCAGCCAATCTCCAGGCACCGCTGAGGACCCCCGGATGAGTCTTCAGGGGCCGCGGGCCTTGGGGCGTTTGGGGAGAAGGGGGGCAAACCCTCTGCTATGAGCCACGTCACCCATGTGCTCTTTCCTCCCCAGATGCTGTTGAAGCCTTCAGCAAACACATGGAAAACTTCAGCTCCCTGGAAGTGAAGAAGCTGAGTGAGCACTTCCACCCCGACATCATCCACGTCTTTGAGAGTGATCTTCACTCCATGCTGCCCGTGGTCCTGACCTCACCAGCATTCACCTCGGCAGGCCCAGATACCCCCTTCCCCACGGCAACCTGGGGGGATGATTTGCTGCAGCCTCACCCCAATGACTTCTTAAAAGTAAGCTTCTTAACACCGGCCTTCTTAAAAGTAGATAGGTGAGCTACGAATTTTTCAGCAGCTTAATGATTGCAAAGAAGAACACAAGCTTAAATAACGCTGCTGACAAGGAATGGCAAATTTGGGACTTGCTTTCTCCCTCGCTCTTTGGGTCACAGCTCCCTCTTCAGCAGTCTCTTGTTTAAGCTGTCTGAAATTTCAGTAGCTTAGACTGCATATGCAGAGCTGAGGTTACGGTTATTAGGAAGTAGGTCTTTCTCAAGTGTGTGTACTGCGTGCATTTTAGCCCTCCTTCTTCATTTACCACTGACTTGGACTGTCTTTGACTACGTGTATGGAGTATTAGTTGGTTTTGATTTTGCTGGTGGGTCATCAATCAAGTCAGAGGGATGTTAACAGCTACGTTCACTCCTTGCTGGTTTTAACTTGACTTTCTCAGGCTAAACAGATTTCATTTCAGTCCTGTTTGGGCTCAGGGAAATGGAGCGTGGCCTATATAGACATTTTTACCTACATCAGCTGTAATTCTGCCATCCCTGGGTACTTCGGAAGATGCAAGAGCTGGATCCGAGCCCACTACCCTGGGGTTGCAGTGGAGGCTGGCAGCTGCGGTGGGAAGGAGTCCCTCCAGGTCTGTTTGAAAGGGGCAGCTCTGCCTATGCTGGCAGACATGTCCTCCAGGCCTGACATGTCCTACACGTGCGGCTCTTGCCGCTGGGCAGGTGATGCTGGCGTGTGCAGTCCTGTTTAGTGTTGGGAGAGGGGAAAAGTGAATGCTGAAGATATAACGTAATAACTGATACCCAAACCAGCGTGCTCCGAACTTGGTGACTGCTACATGTTTGCAGCATGCCCTGACCCCATGTCCCCTCTCCAGTTCCGTTATACTGTTCACAACTTCGGATTTATCCTTCTCTTTTAGGATTATGTGGACGAGGAGAAGGCTCACGACACAGCCAGTGCTGCTGAGAAGCTGGTGGGAGATGTTATGAATCAGGGGCAGGCTGTGATGCTGGACCTCTGGGCTTACCTCTTTGAGCTGCAGAGCAGGTTGTCTCACCCCAATCTCCATGTCGTGCTGGACGAAATCATTCAAAATGGTAACTGCATGTCACTTGGACGGGAAAGGGATTGGGAACAGAGCGAGGCATCTGTCTGAACCAAACCCTGAGGGTGGGAGAAGGAGAGGTGGCTGAGGGGAATGGGAGGCGTAGTAGCAGGGAAGGAAAAGACTCTGTATGGAAGAAGAAACCTTGGACACGACTTGCTCACTCTGTTCACGCAGCAGCAGGGGCGAGAAGGTTGCCAGTGGTGGCTCTGCCAGCTCTTGGAGAGGGTAGCTGAGATCTGTGGTGCTGGTGACGTGAGACAACGTTCCAGTGTTGTAAATAGAAAAGGGATTTCACAATTGCCTTATTCTTGTTCATTAAATAGGGTAACACAGATGATACAGCAGTTCAAACTGCAAAAAATCCTGTGCCAGCTAACAGCACAAGTTTTGCTTTCTCTTTTGCTCTTTTTAGGTCACAATCTGTTAAAGGAGCAATTCTTGAATAAATAAGGACATCCTGTCAAGCAGCAACTGCAAGGTGCTGTGTGTGATAGGAATGGGCTTTGGGTCACATACAGACTGTATTGTGCCAATACACAACAGAGCTGTGTCTGACAGGCATCTTTCTGAGCTGGGGAGGCAGAGATGCCTGATCCGACGGTGGCTCAAGGACAGGTTCGAGTCGATGGGCTGCTGTTCTTAGTACATGTCATTCCCCAGCCCCTGGCTCTGTTTGTGTCCTGCCTGAGCCTCAGTGCACATCCCCACTCAGTTACCATTTCCCATTTCAATGGAGAAATTAGAGTGAAAACCAGCATGCTGGAACAGTCGATCGGACCAGTCCAAACCCAGAAGGTGATTCTGGACCGAGAGGTTGAAACTAGAAGAAAATTTTCATTCCGAGGCCCCTTTTCATTATCTCTGAATGCAAATGCCGATGAAAAGAAAAGAAGCCATGGACAATGCAGGAGAAGAGAAGGAAATGCAAAGGGAGAGGTAGAGGATGGAGGATACAGGTTTGTGCTATGTCTGTCTCATCCCATGTCTTGATTACAGTTTGCCAGAAAAAGCAGAGAAGCTCACAGAGGAAGCTTTCCCAGGACACTCCAAGGGGAATCAGAGTTTCTGATGTCTGAGGCATGGTGGCTCGTTTAGGGTGGCTGGCTGAGGACAGCCTCCCTAACTGCCTTCTCGTCTTTGACGACAACTAATTACAGGCTTTTGATATGCAGAACTCTCCATTCCTTACTGCCTTCCTGGTGGAGAACCCTAAGAGCCGGGAGCTGCGTGAGGTGACCTACTCCTTCTTTCACCTCACCCTCCAGGAGTTTTTCTCTGCTCTTGTGCATTACGTTGATTACCAGGGAAACAACTTAAAATATATATTGGACAACGCCAGGTCTTGTAATGAAGGCAACTATGGAATCTCTCATTTCCTGAGTGGTCTTTCTCGTCCTGCAATCAGAGCTCCACTGGAGAGATACTTGTGCGAGTTTTCTGCAGAGGTGACTCGTCATGTTATTGGGTGGCTAAGTAAGATTAACTACAAGAAACTGCAGAGTGCAAAAGAGCCCAAAGAGAAGAGGAAGCTGATAAATGTGTTCAGTTTGCTCTTTGAATCCCGAAACAGCCAGCTTGTGTTTGACGTGGTTGGCCAAGATGCTTGCATGGACTTTTCAGAGCTGTACCTCATGCCTGTGGATTGTACTGTCCTTGCTTATGTCCTGAATTGCTGCAACAAGATAGACTGCCTGATCCTAGATTCTTGCTACATCCACGATGAAGGCCTGGAGAAACTTGGTGCTGAGCTGCACAAAATCTGAGAGCTGGGCTGAGAAAGTAGCTGAGGAATGAGGGTGGGATATTGCCTTCACAGGAGTGTTTTTATGATGAGGAGCTACAAGGACCTCACCATAAGCCTTGTCCCAACCTGCCTTCGGCCCTAAAGCTATGCTGGAGCAGTGCTGTGGTGATTTTGTGGAGCGTTATGATCTGGGGATAGAGGCATTTCAGCGTCTGGGAGAGACGTGATTCAGAGGAGAGCTTGGAGGAGGCCAGGAGGAGCGAGGCTGTGCTGTGAGAGACGTAGGGATGACAGCTTGGGAGCAGAAAGAAGGAACGAGGAATGGAGGGATCCACTGACCCTAGAATTGTGTAGAACCTGCAGATCCTATTCCTTAATCCTGCCAATTGCTAGACCACTTGCTGTGGAGGCTCTCGTGGGTCTAGCCCTGCTTTCCAGGCCTAGATTTCCTTCTTTAACTTACAGTCTCATTCAAAGTGATCTAAAGGATACGGTGATGAAGCCAGACTGTCGCATGCAGAGCCTGAGGTACCTCTGTTCCACCTGGGGCCACAGCCAGCTGCATGCCCCTGCCACAAGCTGCGTTTCTTCGGGCTGCTAGTCCCTTGCCTTTTCTTTGGCCTCTCACAGTAACCCCATGCAGGCATGGCCATGTATGGCAGCCTCCAGGCCGTCTAGCAAAAAACTAACGGTGGTGGTGGGGGGGTCTTTTCCTCTCCCAGTTTGTGCTGCGGCTCCTGTCTCTTACCTGTAGCCCTCTGTGCCATCCCTTCTATTCTTACTTTTCACCTCTCTGAACAAAACTGGTCTGTAGCCTCTCACCATTGTCTCATTCCTGCCCTGCTTCATCTGAGCTGTCACCAGTCCTTTTTTGTCCTAATTTCTTGTAGTGTCTCTCTTTCTAACTTTCTTGTTTTCTCTCCTTTCTGCTGTTCTGGCCTCATTCTCATCAGTGCCCTCCTGTCCCTGTCTCCATGTCCATTAGTCTAGAGAACGCCTTCACGCCTTCACTGAACTGTGCTGTGAAGATCTGGCCTCTGCCCTGAAGGAGAACAAAACCCTGTTGAGGCTTGACCTCGAGAAGGACAAACTGCAGGACGAAGGCCTTTCCCACTTGTTAAGAGTGCTGGAGAGCCCAGGGTGCATGGTACAGAAATTAGGGTGAGCGTTGCCCAGGTGACCATGGGTCACATGACCACATTTCATGTTGGCGTGGATCTCCGGATTGTGTCTGTGTCCCATCTTGTGTTACATGCTGATCACTGAGTAGAAAGGGAAATTCACCTCCAGGAAGCTGGAGGGGACCACAGGTGCTGCTGCTCACGATGTCTTCTCAGCTGGAACCCAAAGCTGGAGGCAGCCACTAAGGATAATGCGATGTGGATGGGGCCTAGAGCCAAGGGAAATGCTGCCCCTCTGCAGTGTCTGTTCAGCGGTTAAAGCTGTGTGATGCTCTGTAGATCCCAGCAGTCCAGACTTTTCGGACACAAACATTTATTTCTGATCTGAGCAGGAGATAATGAGCCAGAAGGATTCACAGTGGGACAGAGGAACCTCCTAAGAGTCCCATTGCGTAGTGCTCCTCTCTCAGGGAGAGAACGAGAGAAGCAAAAAATCCTTCTGCCCACCCTTTTGCCTTGATGGGAGAAGATTTTTCATCTGAGCATCTGCTGGATGATCAGACGCATGGCATTGCTCTGGGAGCAACAGTGGGTGGGTGGGAGACCAGCAAGGCCAGGGAGAAGGGCAGTGGTGTGGGCCTGTGAGGACGGATGGTGGGCGGATGCTAACAGGTTCCCCCCGCGTTGGGTCCTTTGCAGGCTCCACAGCTTCAACCTCTCAGATGGCTCCTGTAAGCCACTCTCATCCGCTCTTGCCAGGAACTCCAGCCTTTGGCATCTGAATCTGTCTGGGAATATTTTCACTGACCAGTGTGCTGCTGACACGAAGATCCTCATCCAGAGGTGTCCCAACCTCACTGAAATCTGGTAAGCTAGCATGCTCCAGCTCCTCCTGCCGTTCACACACCCATGGTGGGATCTGTTGTGCATGTGTGGATCTGCAATGCACACATCGCCATTCATGCTAATCACCTTGGTGAGGTCGCCTTCATCCAAGGGTTACAGGCCTAAAGTGGTGGTCCCCAAAATAGGTGCCTCCGTCTGAGCTTGTCACTCAGGACTTTCCTCAGAAAGTTGGCATCCTTAGCCACCGCTCCAGAAGGACACAGGTCTTGTGTCTTCTCTGCCAGCCCTGAGCAGTCAACTTAGGTTTCCCAGGGCATCTCCTGTGGCACCAGATCCACAGTTAAGGCTGAAGGCCCAGAATGGGATTTGGTTTCGGGCTACAGACCCCATTGTGTGCCTCCATGACTGGCTGAGCTCCCATACCGGCAGTGGTGCCTGGAGAGCGATGCAGCTCACCCTGAAGTTACAAACCTGTTCCTGCTCAGTTCCCCAAGGACCATCATGTCCCAACCTTCCCTCCTGGTTCAGAAAAGCCCTGCAGCTACTGCAGGTTGCTGGAGGCAAGAAGGGTAATGTTGGGGCGACTGCCACTTATGTGCCCTGTTCCTAAACACTTTTCCTAAGCACCCGCTTTTGGCACCTGCTGGAAACAGTTCTGCAGAAGTAGATAAGGTTTGGTCTGGCCCAGGAGGGCTGCTCTTGTGTCCCTCCGCTCTGTCTTTACACAGTCTCTGTGGAAAGACCAGCTTTCTACTTGTCCTCTCTGACAACCCAAGCACCATGCATAAATATAAATATTGCAGCCAATCTTCTAGAAGGGCCCTAATATGGACCTGGGACCCCACAGGGTAGATGAGGGGTAAAGGTCTGTGGGAATGTCATTT